GGGGAACTCTGAAGTCAGCTGGTACTGAAGAAGTCACTTGGATGACCAATGAGACGTTTCTCCCACTGAAAATGAAACTTCTGCTTGACCCATCGGCCTGTATTTGGGCTGCTAGTCTATTCTTTACATTATTTACGCTTCCACACCCTCTCAAACTTAAATCTGTCCTCATCACTCTGGCCCAGTCATTTCCTTCTCTACCTTCATCAGCCTCTGTCGCATGTGCTCTAAATCTCAGAGCTTTTCTATTATTCTTCCTTTCAGAACTTCATTAGTGCAACCCCCCTCCTACCCATCTACACTTCACCCTGGTCAGTTAGAGTTGAGTTACTCATCCAAGTCACCACCTGCTTCATCTCTGCCACCATCAGTGTCTAGACTCCGATGGGGGGTGGGGGTCCTGTTCTTCTTCCTAACACTCTTGGGCTCCGCTCTGCTGTGTAGCTTTATTGGAGTCCAGGTTATATGTTCTGTTCCTTTAAATTATTAGTCCTTATTGAACTTTCTCCTATCACTTCAACAATTTTTCTTAGGTCATTATTCTATCCAAAAACACAAATTCATCTGCACAACTCTAAGATAGATTTTTTTAGCCTTTAGTGTCCCATGTTTTTGCATAAGCACACCCTTAATTCAGCCTGATTGGAGTTTTTTTTATGATCCTGTAGCGTCTCCCCCCCTTTTTTCCCCCAACAAAAATTTAATCCTCTGAATGTTTTCTGCCCTTTTACCCTCATACACTTGACTTAAGAAAAGTCTATCTATCTATCTATCTATCTATCTATCTATCTATCTATCTATCTATCTATCTATCTATCTATCTATCTATCTATCTATCTATCCATCCATCCATCCATCCATCCATCCATCCATCCATCCATCCTCCATCCATCATCCATCCATCCATCATCCTATTCTATCTATCTATCTATCTATCTATCTATCTATCTATCTATCTATCTATCTATCTATCTATCTATCTATCTATCTATCTATCTATTCTCTATCTATCTATCTATCTATCTATTGGAAATAACAATCTTCAGGCTGAACAGTTTCCTCAGTACTTCGTACTTCTGCCTGTGCACTTTAGATGATGTCAGCTGCTTTCAAAGTTGATGAGCTGCAGTTTCAGTGTTGACTATTCATTGAGTGTGATGGAGGCAAATCTGTCATTCCCAGCTGTATTGTTGTTTCTAATCTCTTGTGACAATTAAGTGGATCTTAGTGCTTCAAAACACGCCTTAAAAACAGTCACAGTGGCTCTCTGACAAAAGTGTCATTGAAAGCTGTGGGTGATGCGGCACACGCTGACATCATTTTGACATCAGTATGAGGTTTTTTTTCAGTTGCATGTGATGTTGGCAACTTACCTAAAGCTAATCTCTTCCATTCTTTTAGCAGCAATGTAAGCGTCTTCTTAAAGCGTAGCTTCTGTACATCATACGAAGCTTTGCAAACAGTCCAAAATGTTACACTGACTATTTTCGGTGGGACACAGTTGAACACAAAGAGGTTGAATGAGGGCCCATGCATTAAAATGATCTGTCAAAGATTGGTCTTTCTTGAGATATGTGGGATGTTTTGTTTTTTTTATCTGAATATTTCAGTGAATCATGGAGGGATCAAAAAAAGTTTCACAGCGGCTGAGCTTTTTGTTGGGCTGTGTGCTATCTGGTCCATTTGTCAGATGGCGACATGAAAGAGAGCCATCAGAAGACGGTTACAATCGGAAAATTCTGTCTCCTCTTTCAGTTCCCCGCCAACGTATCCCCATGAGAGAGCGTTGATTTACACAATGAACCCATTATCATCTATTTACTTCAGTTTTCTGAAATCTGAGGGGGATATAAACCAGTGGTTGTCATACACACACAGACTTACAACGCAGTGACTGCTGCCTCATGATGTATGAGGGCTGTTGGCTGGCCTGGAGTTTTATCTCTTGCACCACGTGATTTATACCCCACTCCTGACCTCCAATGCATGTCTGTATATCCTTGAAAATAATAATAATAATAAAAAAGAATAAATTCTTTGAATTAATCAAGCCACCAATCCTGAACTAACAGAGTCCGGGTTTTTTTGACTACTGTCCCATCCTGTCTGCCTGATTCATCGTGAGCAATACCACCACTGCACACTTGTCCATTGCTGAGTCACCATGAAGAAGAGTGTAATTGCAGGTGACAGGGCTACAGAAAACAACCTACCACTGAATTGATGCTGCTGAAATATGCAGAGTCATCTCTGTTGTGTCAGCACACCATCCCTTAAGGACAGACTAGCGTTAAAATTGCAGTAAGTGGTTCGCCCAAACAGCAGGTGTTGGAGCTACACAGGGACCACACAGTCTTTAACTAACCTCACAGATGAGACAAACCCACAGTAGTCATTCATTTAACTCTTAATCCCTCAGTTTGACACTCGTCTTTATTTCAGAAACAGGTAGACTGGAGACTTTAAAAATCCCTGTATATCTTCTATATTATACCCCATGTGGTCTCTGCATGTGGATATTTGTGTTCATACCCCTAAGGATCTGTGTAATGCACTTGCTTTAAGCCATTGATTTAACAGCAGCGACTGTCAGGGACAGAACAATAAAAGTGATTGAAGAGTGCAGTTTACACACAAAGAGATTTGTGGTTAAGCAGAATGGATGATCACCCCGATCGGACTTGAAATCCTACGTGGAGCAGGAACAGCTGAACATCTGGATGTGTGTTTGTGAAGGCCGATGCAGGAAGGATTAAAATCAGCATGCAAAGCAGGCAGACAGCCCCCCGCCCACTCACACACACAAACACACCACCACCACTGTTACTGATGTTATTACCAGCTATATCTGTTTTTATTATTATTTTTCATGCTTCCAGGGAGTTATATACACTGAACTGAATTTATGTTATTTCTATTCTATTAGAGTTTCAAAAAACAAACAAACAAGAAAACAAAAGTCTTGAGCTCTCATGTCAGAACTTAAATGGTAAATGGTAAATGGCCTGTATTTATATAGCGCTTTACTAGTCCCTAAGGACCCCAAAGCGCTTTACATATCCAGTCATCCACCCATTCACGCACACATTCACACACTGGTGATGGCAAGCTACATTGTAGCCACAGCCACCCTGGGGCGCACTGACAGAGGCGAGGCTGCCGGACACTGGCGCCACCGGGCCCTCTGACCACCACCACAACTTAACTTCCCCTGTGAAGTTAAAGGCTTCTGGTTGTGTCAGTTTTTGAGGTTTTCCTGTATGAACTTCAAAGGTTTGACCACAGATTTTCAGTAAATGTTGGGTGAACTGAACACAAGACAGTTTTTTCCTCTAGAAGAAACCGATTGTGAGTTTTTGACGTGTTCTTAGGACTATGATCCTGTTTTAAAAGCTGTCCTGTTTTCATATTCAGCTTATCATTATTATTATTATTTTTTTCACATAGTGTGGCGTTTGCTTCTACATTTTTCTGGCATTAGTTGAATTAATTTTTATCCCATGCTGCTGGCTCCAAAACATGACCAACTTTCCTTGTGCTTAGCAGCTGACGCTGTGCTCTTTTCATTAAAATCTACATCCTACTCACAGCCAAAATTCAGTTTTATCTTCATCAGTTAACAGGATTTTTTCTTCTTCTTAAAATGCATAAGACTTTTTTTTAGCCTGGATAACTCCTCCATAAAGGTCTTATTGTGCAGACGTGGCTGCACAGTTGCCTTACTTGCCACCCTGATTTCTTGGTGTTCATACCTCAACATAACCTCAAAGGTTCATGCTATTTCTTGAGCTGAGGAAACATCTACCTGAAATCGTTTGTGTTTTGTGAGCATTTTGAGCGCCTAACAAACTGCTCAGGCTGCTAGGCAACATGTTGGAAGTTTATCAAGCTTTGGAAAGTGTTTGCTTTCCAAAACTTTGCTTTTCCAAGTTATGAAAATGTGCAAAGCAAAACAAAACGAGGCCTTAAAATTGCCTTTTGGAGAATCCTAAATAAGGATACCCAAACTTTTGGACGGTCGATCCATCGCAGAACATATAACCCACGCAGACCGCTTGCATGTGCAAACACTGCACCTGATCCTGAATGAAAATCGCATTTTTTATCAGCTTATCCGCAGGGGAGCGCATCGTCGCCGCGCTGAGTGGTCACCTGTGTGGCCCGGAAAGCTTGAGCGTCGGGAGGAGTGCGGGGACTGCTGCGCCTCTGTGTGCTCTGCTGTGTCTCTTTAAGTACAGCAGGCAGTGCTGTTGGTCCGCGTGGGAGCGCAGGGCACACGGTGCAGCGGCACTGCCTCTTCGCCGCGTCAAACAGCCCTCTTCTAATCGGACGGGCGACAGAAACGACAAGTCGACGCACGGCATGCGTTCGCTGTTTGACCCAAACAGATGACTGGAGCCACCGGGGCGAAGACCGGACTGTTTCAGAGGGGCTCGTCCATTGGTGAGGCCATTAACATTACTCCCTCCTTCTCCTCGGACTGAGAGCTGGAAGCGCGTAGCGGTTCATCTGCACTACAGCAGATTATTGAGCAGCACAGAGAGACTGTACGGGCTAATGGGATTGACAAACTAACATTAGCGCTACAGGGCTTTTCTGAGAGTATGGTGCTCTTCATTTTTGGCCGAGTTATCGTGGATATGAATATGTCTGAGCCCGAGGGGTGACCATCCATCCTGAGCTGAGTTGCGTCCTGTGAACTGCAACAACACCAAAGCTTGTGTTGAGAGCCTTATTCTGACTCATGTTTAAGGTAAGCCCGAAGACTACTCACACACACACACACACACACACACACACACACACACACACACACACACACACACACGTTTCAGAACCAAAAGCTACAAGTAACGTTAAGTCTTTGTCATCTCTGAAAGAAAAATATTTTTTATAGCAATATAGGGCAAAAACCCTGCTCATTATCATAAAATGCAAGGAGCACAGAAAGGTGAGG